CTTTTACGCACAGGTCCAAACGATTCCCGGCGGAACGGAACAAACGAGTCTGCGTCAGCACGTTTAAAGTCACGTACCGAGAGAGTGAACTTTGAACTGTGGCGCGCGCTCGGCACACGTGTCCAGAGACGAGGATGGGAGGGCATCTGACACACCGGCTCATGTACGTTTAAAACCCGAAAGCAGAAAAAAAAGAGCTATAGCCGGACTAAAACCAGCACTAAAACTAGATCTAAACCAGGTCTAAACCAGGTCTAAACCAGGACTGAACCAGGACTGAACCAGGACTAGATGCCCTCCCGGCCGTGGTGTGGTTGACACGTCACAGACAGAAAAGCTCGTCTGTATTCGGTTTAATCGGTCTTGAGTCGGTTAATCGCAGACTTGTTATTGGCGGCGCGGCGGCGCGTCCTGCCGCGTGTGCGTGCGTAATGCGCGTGCTCCGTGTCGCGGCTGTGATTGGTCCAGACGGAGGAGGAGGAGGGGAGGGGGGCGTGCGCGTGAGCCGTGCGCGTGAGGGACAGCTGGAGCCGCACGAGCCGTGGCAGACGCTGAGCGCGAGGCGAGCGGGACGCATCTCTTTGTCCCGGCATCCACTGCGGCTCTCCCGGGCTTCTCCTCTCCGGCTCCCCGCCTCTCCCCGCGCCTCCCCCGGCCTCTCCGCTCCGTCTCCGCCGCTCCCTCCTCCGCCGCCGCGGAGCTCCACGCCGCCGAGCAGGAGCTGTTTCCCGGGAACAAAGCCCCGTGTCTCCGGTCCAGTCGCATGCAGCTGCTCCGCGGCTCCGGCGCCACCAATGCAGAAAAGAGACAAAAGTTTCGGTAAGAGCCGGGGCTCTCCTCCTCCTCTTCATCCTCCTCTCCTCATCCTGCTCTCCTCTTCCTCTCCTCCTCATCCTCCGGAGCGTGTCCGTAGGTGACCCCTCTCCGCTGTGACCGCTCCGGGGCTCGGGGCTCGGGGCGGTGAGACGCGGCGCGCTGATGCGGTCGGTCTGCGCGGTTGTTGCGGATGTGATTGGCCTTTTAGCCGCGTGCCGCTGCGTGCCAGTGCGTGCCAGTGCGTGCCAGTGCGTGCCAGTGCGTGCCAGTGCGTGCCAGTGCGTGCCGCTGCCATGGCAACAGTCATTAGGAAAAGGCCAAATGTCACCGAGACCGACACGCTCCGTCCGTGCGTGAGGCGCGCACTGCGGCCCGGAGCCTTTGTCCCGGTGCGGTTGTGTCCCGGGCGGAGCGGGGAGCTGTGGCCGGGCTCGGGGCGCCTCAGAGCGGGTACAGTGCGGCACGGACCCCGCTGATGAGGGTCCCCCGGGGCCCCGCGCTAATCAGCAGCGGCACTTTGAAGTGTAACGTGCGCGTGAATCTGTATCAGCCAATCAGAGCTCAGACGGAGCGCACGAGGCTCTGACTGCAACCTGCTCCCGCGCACGCGCACAGATGCGTGCGTGCTCCGCAGCTGACGCACCACGCACGCACGAGACCAGCCACGTTCTGTTTATGATGTTTGAGACTGAACCAGAACTAAACCAGGACTACACCAGGACTGAACCAGAACCGAACCAGGACTGAACCAGGACTAAACCAGGACTAAACCAGGACTGAACCAGGACTGAACCAGGACTAGTTGAGTGAAAGTGTATTGATGAGTGTTGCTCCAGCTGCTGTGGGGCTCAGCAGGTCAGAGGAGGGGTGTGTGTGTGTGTGTGTGTGTGTGTGTGTGTGTGTGTGTGTGTGTGTGTGTGTGTGTGTGTGTGTGTGTGTGTGTGGGTATGTGTGTGTGTGTGTGTGTGTGTGTGTGTGTGTGTATAGTGTGTGTGTGTGTGTGTGTGTGTGGAATACTAATCTGTCTCATTGTCCCCAACTAAAGAAAAGAGAAAAGAGCAGCGACTGAACAATGAGCCGGGACCCTCCCACCTCCTCCCCCCAACACACACACACACACACACACACACACACACACACACACACACACACACCCCTCCTCCTCTTCTGTCCCCACAGCGTCTCACACTCAGGAGTGCGAGTCCCACTGAGCGAACAAACGTAGAAACAGAAATGGGTTTATTAAAAGTCCAGTCCGGGTCCACTGCAGGTCCAGACTGAGACGCCCTGAGCCCAAAGTCTTTTCCGGACGTCCAGCGTCGACGTTCAGGATCAGGTGATTCTGTCCACATGAGCTCGATGTCCACCACTTTTTTATTTTTTTTTTATACCTTAAATTAAAACTCATTTAAAATGGTCACAGTTTTATGCAGAACTTTTCCACTTTCAACACTCAAAATGACTTAAAGAAGGAACTGAACACAAACACACACACACACACACACACACTACACCACACACAGACACACACACACACACACACACACACACACACACACACACAAACACACACACACACACAACACACACACACACACACTACACACACACACACACACACACACACACACACACACACACAGATCACACACAGATACACACACACACACAACAGACACACACACACACAACACACATACACAACACACAACACACACACACACCACACACAGACTACACACACACACACACACACAGATACACACACACACACACACACAACACACACACAGAACACACACACACACACACACAACACACAGAAACACACACACAGTACACACACACACACACACACACACACCAGACACACACACACAGATACACACACACACACACACACACACCGCACACACACACACACCAGACACACACACACACACATATACAACACACACACACAGATACACACACACACACACACACACACACACACACACACACAGATACACACACACACACACAGATACACACACACACACACACACACACACACACACACACACACACACACACACACACAATACACACACACAACACACACACACACAGATACACACACACACACAACACACACACACACAGATACACACACACACACACACACACACACACACACAGATACACACACAGATACACACACACACACAGATACACACACACACACACACACACACACACATACACACACACACACTGGGGGCCTTGCCCATGTGTCTTGCCCAAGGACACAACAACAGCATTCATTTAACTGGACCAGTGACATTTATGTGCAGCAGGATTCAAACCAGCGACCTTCAGGTCAGAGTCAAACTCCTGACCTGTCGATCCTGTCGATCCTGTCGATCCTGTCGATCGTGTTTATGTTTGAACTCAGAGTTTCACAGAATCATGATCAGTTTTGTTTGAGTCGACACACACAGAGTGATAAAAGTTTAATCACAAAGAATCAGAAGTAATATGAATGAATAATATTGAGAACAACAATGTTGATATTTGTCATAAATTTTAAAAATATTATATCGATAATTAAAGACAGTTATAAACCCCTATGGATAGTTTAAAATCAAGGACCGTTACGTCGCCCGGTTTGGCGCAGCCGGGGCCCCACCCTGGAGCCAGGCCTGGGGTTGGGGCTTGAATGCGAGCGCCTGGTGGCCATGGCCCGGACGGGCTCAGCCCGAAAGGACGACGTGGGTCCACCATCCTGTGGGTTCACCACCCGCAGAGGGTTTCATAGGGGTCGGGTGCAAAGTGAACTAGACAGCGGTCAGGGTCAGGGACCTCGGCAACCTAGACCACGGACACATAACCTGGCTGTAGGGACGTGGAACGTCACCTCACTGGGGGGAAGGAGCCTGAGCTTGTGCGGGAGGTTGAGCGTTACCGACTAGATATAGTCGGCCTCACCTCCACGCACAGTTTGGGCTCTGGAACCCAACTCCCAACCCAAGGCCGGAGGTCGATGATCGACTTTGTAGTCGTGTCATCTGACCTCCGGCCGCGTGTCTTGGACACTCGGGTGAAGAGAGGGGCTGAGCTGTCAACTGATCACCACCTGGTTGTGAGTTGGGTTCGCTGGCGGAGGAGGAAGCCGGAAAGACCTGGCAGGCCCAAGCGTGTAGTGAGGGTCTGTTGGGAACGTCTGGCGGAGCCCTCTGTCAGAGGGACTTTCAACTCGCACCTCCGGGAGGACTTCTCCGGATCCGGGGGAGGCTGGAGATATGGAGTCCGAGTGGGCTTCATTCTCTGCCTCTATTGTCAATGCGGCTGCTCGGAGCTGTGGGCGTAAGGTCTGTGGTGCCTGTCGCGGCGGCAACCCCAGAACCCGGTGGTGGACACCGGAAGTAAGGGATGCTGTTAGGCTAAAGAAGGAGTCCTATCGGGCCTTGCTGGCTCGGGAGACTCCTGAGGCAGCTGACAGGTACCGGCGGGCCAAGCGTGCTGCAGCCCGTGTGGTCGCGGAGGCAAAAACTCGGAGCTGGGAGGAGTTCAGGGAGGCCATGGAGGAGGACTATTGGACGGCCTCAAAGAGATTCCGGCGCCTCAGGAGGGGGAAGCAGTTCTTCACCAACACTGTTTACAGTGCGGGGGGAGAGCTGCTGACCCCGACTGGGGACGTTGTCCGGCGGTGGAAGGAATACTTTGAGGATCTCCTCAATCCCACCGTCACGTCCTCCGAGGAGGAGGCCGAGGCTGGGGACTCAGAGGCGGACTCATCCATCACCCTGGCCGAAGTCACTGAGGTGGTTGGCAAGCTCCTTGGTGGCAAGGCTCCGGGGGTGGATGAGATCCGTCCTGAGTACCTGAAGTCTCTGGATGTTGTGTGGGGCTGTCTTGGCTGACACGCCTCTTCAACATCGCGTGGCGGTCGGGGACAGTACCTCTGGACTGGCAAACCGGGGGGTGGTGGTCCCTCTGTATAAGAAGGGGGACCGGAGGGTGTGTTCCAACTATAGGGGATCACACTTCTCAGCCTTCCCGGTAAGGTCTATGCCAGGGACTGGAGAGGAGAATCCAGCCGATAGTCGAACCTCGGATCCAGGAGGAGCAGTGTGGTTTTCGTCCTGGCCGTGGAACACTGGACCAGCTCTACACTCTCCATCGGTGCTCGAGGTTCATGGGAGTTTGCCCAACCAGTCCACATGTGTTTTGTGGACTTGTGGCATTGGACCGTGTCCCTCGTGGTGTCCTGTGGGGGGCGCTCTGGGAGTCTGGGGTCCGGTCCCTGTATGACCGGAGCAGGAGCTGTGTTCGTTGCCGGCAGTAAGTCAGACCTGTTCCCGGTGCATGTTGGACTCCGCCAGGGCTGCACCTGTCACCGGTTCTGTTCATTGTGTTTATGGACAGAGTTTCTAGGTGCAGTCAGGGGCCGGAGGGTCCGGTTTGGGGACCACAGGATCTCATCTCTGCTGTTTGCAGATGATGTTGTCCTGTTGGCTTCATCGAGTCAGGACCTGCAGCACTGGGGCAGTTTGCAGCCGAGTGTGAAGCGTCTGGGATGAAGATCAGCTCTTCTAAGTCCGAGGTTGTGGTTCTCGACCGGAAAAAGGCGTCTTGTCGTCTCCAGGTGGAGAGTCTCTGCCTCAAGTGGAGGAGTTCAAGTATCTCGGGGTCTTGTTCATGAGTGAGGGGAGGATGGAGCGTGAGATTGACAGGTGGATCAGTGATGCGGTCGCTGTATTGTTGTGGTGAAGAGGAGGTGAGTCTAAAGGTGAAGCTCTGGATTTACCGGTCAGTCTTCGTTTCTACTCTCACCTCTGGTCATGAGCTCTGGGTAGTGACCGAAAGGACGAGATCGCGAATACAAGCGGCCGAAATGAGTTTCCTCCGCAGGGCGTCTGGGCGTCTCCCTTAGAGACAGAGTGAGGAGCTCAGTCACACAGGAGGAGCTCGGAGTAGAGCCGCTGCTCCTCCACGTGGAGAGGAGCCAGTTGAGGTTCAGGCATCTGTTCTGATGTCTCCTGGACGTGTCCCTCAGGAGGTGTTCATGTCCCACCGGGAGGAGGCCCCGGGGAAGACCCAGGACACACTGGAGGGTCTATGTCTCTGGACTGGCCTGGGAACACCTCGGGTTCCCCTGGAGGAGCTGGAGGACGTGTGTGTGGAGAGGGAAGTCTGGGAGTCCCTGCTTAGACTGATGCCCCCGAGACCCGACCCCAGATAAGCGGAAGAAAATGAAATGGAATATTGATGTGTGCAGATGTAACAATAACTGAAACATGGTGACATCGTATCGTCAAAGTTCTCACAATAATATTATAGGAGACACTTGGGCACAGTGCGCTTGCGCGTGTGTGTGTGTCTGTTCCCTGAGAGGAGGTGGGGTCACGTGAGCGTGGGGTGTGTGTGTGTGTGTGTGGTGTGGAAAAGCATAAATGGTGCACACTCACCTGGGCCAGGGGGAGGAGAGAGGTTGGTTGGGTAGACATAATTTTTGTTGACCGCTATTGCTTTTGTTTCTGGTTTGACGTTTTCAAACAGTATTAATTTTTTACGATATCCTTGCTCTTGGTCCATATACTTACGCTTGTCGCTGTGAACCCAGCTCTGTATTAAACCACCGTAAACGCACACTGGATCCAGCCTCATCTGTTTTACATCACATTCAGCGCGTCATAACTTTTACAGAACCCAGTTTTACCTTACCAGGAAACACAGTATCATTTAGCCGCTACAAATATCATGAACATCACAATTTATCAAATCACAAATGTCTTTGTTTAAATGAAGAGTTTTGATGAGACAACAGCTAAAAAACACAGAGCAACTACATAGACCATGATCCTTTGCTCCATTTCAGTGCAGACGACAAGAAGAAATAACAGTTCTAACACTTTTAACTCTTAGTTCTTTGGATTAAATCTTGTCAAGACATTTGAAGAGGAAAAAGTTTTGTTTGCTCCACAAAATATCACAGTAAATATTGTACTGTGAGATGTTCATGGTGAAAACATCGGACAGAGAGATCTGGATATCGTTCCATCTCTGATGATAACGTGATTTTCCTGCGTCTGTGTCAAACGTCCCAGTCCACAGTCCAAATGTGTCACTGCAGATCCACGTCCAAGAGTCAGAGACCAACAAAGACTGGACCAGATTTACATGACATTTAGTCCAGAACTGGACTTGGACCAACGGACGCAACATAGACACAACCTGCACATCCAGAAGACGTTTAAACTAGACCCACATGTTCCTCAGGTCTGCATCCTAAAAAGTCCCACTGACAGAACAGAACCTTTAGAACCTTTAGAACCTTTAGAACGTTTGATGAATGTGTTTAGAAAAACCTGGAGCTCGATCCGAACAAGTACAAGACACAGAGACTAGAAAACACATATATAGTCCTGGCTTAGTCCTGGTTTAGTCCTGGCTTAGTCCTGGTTTAGTCCTGGTTCAGTCCTGGTTTAGACCTGGTCTAGACCTGGTACCTCCTGGAACTCTGAGGATCACTCCACAGACTGTTCAGAAATGGACAGAACGAGCCTGGGACCGAGGGTTTTATGTTCATCGTGGTCTCCTCTGTCTCTGACCCTCTTTGTGTTTCTGACCCTTTCTCTGGTTTTTTTTTTCTGACCCTTTGGTCCAGGCATCCAGATGCTGTCGGTGCAGCCGGACACGAAGCCGAAGGGCTGTGCAGGCTGTAAGAGGAGGATCCAGGACCGGTTCCTGCTCAAGGCCCTGGACCAGTTCTGGCACGAGGACTGTCTGAAGTGCGCCTGCTGCGAGTGCCGCCTGGGCGAGGTGGGCTCCACCCTCTACACCAAAGCCAACCTCATCCTGTGCCGCCGGGACTACCTGCGGTGAGGGCGGGGCCAGGGGCGGGACTACCTGCGGTGAGGGCGGGGCCAGGGGCGGGACTACCTGCAGTGAGGGCGGGGCTGGGGGCGGGACTATCTATGGTGAGGGCGGGGCTGGGGGCGGGGCCAGGGGGGCGGGGCCATTGGTCTGAACTCGCTCCACATGATCCTGGACCCACTGAACATTAAACGCCTTAAAGCTGAAGTTTACTTCTACATCGACTCGTCGCTCTCTGCCGCCGTCGCCTCGTCGCTGTCGTTTTTGGTCGGCGCCGCCAAGTAATTCACTGCCACAACACGAGACGGCGACGATTTAAACCTGGAGTTCGTGTTTACAAACTGAAGCGTGAAAGTGGAGAACGTAGAGACGACCAATCACAGCCCTGATCGTCTACGACGATTTGAAGCACAGTTACAAAATTTCGGAGGTGCTTTTTTCACTACAGAAAAAAACAAACGTCGATACTGGATGCTCCGGAGACGTTGGTGATCTGGAGTCACAGTCTGGACCTTCAGCGGACCAGACCGGACGCACAGATATGACTCTAAAAAGACGCTGTTTCTACGTTTGTTTGCGCAGTTGGATCCTGCTCCTCGTGATCCTGGGGTTTGGACTTCGACGTCTTGTCCCAAATCAAGAGCTGAACGTTAAGAACTGACCAATCAGACGCCAGACAGAAGGGGCGTTCCCCTTCTTCAACAGCCTCGCTCCTGATTGGCTCTTTGGTTGCTATGATACTCACGGTCGGAATTCCAAACATAGAACTGAGCTCCAGATTCATCGCTGCAAAAAGAAACTTTAGTTTGTGAAATTGAGCAGAGGGAGGAGCCGTGTACAGGGGGAGGAGCCGTGTACAGGGGGAGGAGCCGAGTACAGGGGGAGGAGCCGAGTACAGGGGGAGGAGCCGAGTACAGGGGGAGGAGCCAAGTACAGGGGGAGGAGCCATCTTTTGTGACTCAAAAGCAACAACAGATCTCAGTCCTGGTTTAGTCCTGGTTTAGTCCTGGTTTAGACCTGGTTCAGTCATGGTTCAGTCCTGGTTTAGTCCTAGTTTAGACCCTGGTTTAGACCTGGTTTAGACCTGGTTTAGACCTGGTTTAGACCCTGGTTTAGTCCTGGTTTAGACCTGGTTTAGACCTGGTTTAGACCCTGGTTTAGACCTGGTTTAGACCTGGTTTAGACCTGGTTTAGTCCTGGTTTAGACCTGGTTTAGTCCTGGTTTAGACCTGGTTTAGTCCTCTCCTCCTTTATCTCGGCGTTCTGATCTTGGCGAGGGTTTCGTGGTGGCTCGGGGACACACCTCCTCGTCGCGCTGATGGATTCGTTTTCTCCAGATCAGGTTTGTTTAAAATATTCATGGATTTGACCCAAAGTCTGGGGTCAAAACGCCCACAACCCGACACACTTTAATTAAAAAGACTCAGGACCCACGAGGCCGAGCGCCGCCGAGCGCCGTCCCCCACGAGGCCGAGCGGCGTTTCCCACGAGGCCGAGCGGCGGCGGCGTGATTGGGGTGAGGGAGGTTAATGTGAACGACAGACGCTCCGAGCCAAAGACGAGAAAAATCTGCTCCGACTGAGATGAAAATATCAAGTTCAAGACAATTATTTAAAAACAAGAGGACTAAACCAGAACTAAACCAGAACTAAACCAGGACTTCAGATCCCTGGTTCAGTCCTGGTTTAGTCCTGGTTCAGTCCTGGTTTGATGTGTTTTTGTCGGCAGGTTGTTCGGCGTGACGGGGAACTGTGCGGCCTGCAGTAAACTCATCCCGGCGTTCGAGATGGTGATGAGGGCCAAAGAAAACGTTTACCACCTGGACTGTTTCGCCTGCCAGCTCTGCAACCAGCGGTGAGTCCAACGCCAAACACCAAAACGCCAAACACCAAACGACCAAACGCCAAACACAAAACACCAAATACCAAAACGGCAAATGACCAAACAACCGAACGACCAACGACCAAACAACCAAACGCCAAACGAGTAAACGCCCAAATGCCCAAACACCCTAACGCCCAACGACCAAACGACTAAACGACCAAACGACCAACGACCAAACGACTAAATGCCCAAACGCCCAAACGCCCAAACGCCAAACGACCAAACGACCAAACGCCAAACGACCAAACGACCAACGACCAAACGACCAACGACCAAACGACTAAACGCCCAAATGCCCAAACGCCCAAACGCCCAAACGCCCAAACGCCAAACGACCAAACGACCAAACGCCAAACGACCAAACGACCAAACGACCAACGACCAAACGACCAACGACCAAACGACCAAATGCCAAACGAGTAAACGCCCAAATGCCCAA